AGGCCCGGGCGCCACGCAGGGGTGGGGCGCGGGCACCCTGGACGTCTTCAGGCAAATGACCCTCAATCACCCTGGCTCGCGGCTGGAGCCCTCCGGGACGTCGGGGCCTTTGGGAGTTGCACCCTGACCCGGGCCGGGGTCCCCTTCCCTGGCTCCGGTGGCGCGGCGCGGTTCTGGCGTCACTAAGGGCTGCAGCCCCTGACCCGCCCCGGCCGCCCCTGGAATGATGGCTGGACTCTGAGCAGCCCCAGGGGTGGTGCTGAGCCCAACCAACCCAGCTTAGCCTTTGTCCCCTTTTCTCTTCAACTTACAAAGCTATGGACCGGCAAATCAGGTTTGCTTCTCTGTCTTTTAGGCTGTAGAGTTAAAACCATAGTACCAATCAAAACCCCAAACACCCCAAAACCAAACCAATAAAAAAGAAACTCAGAAGTAGAAAGTCTAAAACAACTCCAAAGGCTAGTTCTGTATAAAATCTAATAAGATGGATGCAATATAGTGAGTTAGATTTGGAGATCTAGAGAGAGCCAAGCTCTAAAAGATTAGTAACCAGAAAGGCAGTCTATTCACAGATAAGGAGTAAAGGAAGAATAAAGCAAATTACACATAACCTTATGACAACAGGCTTTTAACATCTTGAGAAAGATGATTATTTTTTGGTGATACTGGGGTTTGAACTCAGGCCTTCTCATCTGGTTTTCTACCACTCAAGTTGTGCCCTTCGCCCGCCCCCTTCTTGTTATTTTGCATATGGACTCCTGTGGACATTTCTGAGGTGGCTAAGTTTGAACTTTGATACTCAAGATCTCATCCTCTTAATAGAGAGGATGTTATAGCAAAATGACTCCTTCCTTCCCAGTGGGAAGGAGTATTTTCACCTGCATTCATGTTGGGTGACTTGTGACTTGCTTTTGAGCACAAATGACTATGGCACAATCAGTTTTCATTGGACCCCCTTGTCTTCTTGCAATCCACCAGATAGTCTATTAGCTTATCCTAGAATTGGATATACATAGAACACATAGTTTTTCTTGAAACAATCCGCTCATTCCTTTCTGTCAAGATCCAAGTTTTAGGATTGAGTGGTCATCTCCTGACAGGTGGTTTCATGGTCTGAGTCTAAAGTCTACCAGATCTTTGTCCATTAAAGAGAATCCCCAAAAGTTCACAAATTAGAACACTATCTCCTGCTGAGGAATGGGCATCTAGAAACCACTGACAGGTACAGCTGCTCCAACTTGGAGTTAATTGGGGTTGGAGGGCTAAGCTTTTACAGACGTCTAGAACCTACAAAGTCCCTCTGAGTCACCTTGAGGCAGCAGTTTCTCTAGTTCCAAGCCAAGAACTGCTAGCCCAGCAGCTCAGTGTTAACTCATAAAGGAGTTGTCGAATTTGAGCCCCTGGTAACATGCCAGCCTCCCAGCCTACTGACCTTTGTCTGGGCTCTTCTTCCCCTCCCTCTTTGACACTCCACCCAGGGCACTGGGCAAGCCTGAGAGCCTCTGTTTTCTGGGGCTGCCTGTTTGACTGCCTGCTTCTACTGTCTTCCTGGGAACCCATTCAAAAAACTCAGGTTCCAGGGCTGGGAAAGTGGCTCAGTGGTGGAGCTTGCCTTGCATGCCTGAGGCCCTGGGTTCGATTCCTCAGCACCACATAAGCAGAAAAAGCCAGAAGTGGAGCTGTGGCTCAAGTGGTAAAGCATTAGCCTTGAGCTGAAGAGCTCAGGGACAGCACCAAGGCCCAGAGTTCAAGCCCCACGACCGATAAAAAAACAAAAACAAAACAAAAAAACAAACTCAGGTCACAAAGCTTTTCTTTTTAATCTAATGGGTGGGCCCCCCACTTTTAAATTTTCACATAGACATTAGCATTTTCAAAAACTGTGTCCCTTCTTACATTTTCTGTGTGTGCTGGTCCTGGGGTTTGAACTCAAGGCATGGGCACTGTCACTGAGCTTTTTGCTCAAGGCTAGCACTCTACCACTTGATCCACTGCTCCACTTCTGGCTTTCTGGTAGTTAGAGATTAGTCTCATGGACTTTCCTGCCTGGGCTGGCTTGTGAGATCCTCAGATCTCAGCCTCCTGAGTAGCTAAGATTATAAGTATAAGCCACCAATGCCAGGCTTCTTATATTTTTTAAAAGTAACTAATGTTTTTTTAATAATTAAGAAGAAAATTGATAAAGTAACTAAAGTTTTTATCTTAAATTTAAATAATTGCAGAAAAATAATACTTTCTGGGCTGGGAAGGTGGCTCAGTGGTAGAGCGTTTGCTTTGCATGCCTGAGGCCCTGGGTTCGATTCCTCAGCACCACATAAGAAAAAAGAAAAAAGCCGGAAGTGGCGCTGTGGCTCAAGTGATAGAGGGCTAGCCTTGAGCTGAAGAGCTGAGGGACAGCGCCCAGGCCCAGAGTTCAGGCCCCACGACCGGACCAAAAGAAAAATAATACTTTCTAGACATAAATACTGACATTTTACACTAACAGGTTTTCAAATGCAGTAAGTGGAATCCAGATTTAAGAGCAATGTGGTATTTATTTATTTTTTTGGTCGGTCATGGGGCCTGAACTCTGGGCCTGGGTGCTGTCCCCCAGCTCTTCAGCTTCAGGCTAGCACCCTACCACTTGAGCCACAGCACCACTTCCGGCTTTATTCTGCTTATGTGGTGCTGAGGAATCGAACCCAGGGCCTCATGCATGCAAGGCAAGCACTCTACCACTGAGCCAACTTCCCAGCCTTGCAATGTGGTATTTATAAAGGACCACTAAAAATTAAATAAAAACAAGCTCATCTTTACCATTAGAAATTTTATAACTTGATTTTTCTTGTAGTAGCCATATTTTTACTTTTCTCACAAGACTGTATCTGTAATGACCTGGGAGCAGCATGGTTAAAGGTGACAAAGGAGGTTTATTAGTCGGTCTGCAACTGTCTTGTCCTGGGCTACTTCAGAACCAGGAGCAGCTGCAGCCTCCAAGGGGGCGAGTTTGTTTTATTTTCTTCCTCCCCACAGGTCTCGCCTCTCCGCAGGCCTCTCCCGGGCCTTTGCGCAGGCCTCACTGGCCGGGCCTCTCCCGGGCCCCTGCACAGGCATCACTGGCCCACTCCCCAAGCTGCCCATTGCCTGATCCCCTTTGATGCCCTGCCCCCCCGCAGCGGGGCATGGTAGTGACGTCAGCGTGGGTGAAGCTTCCTAGTCGCTCTAGTGACCCTACCCACGGTACCGGTTCTCACAGTATCCTGATGCATTTTGTGCTTTATTAGTTCTTTATTTCTTTTTTGTTGTTGTTGGTGGTGGGGTTTGAACTCTGGGCCTGGGTGCTGTCCCTCAGCTCTTCAGCTCAAGGCGAGCGCTCCACTACTTAAGCTACAGCCCACTTCTGGTTTTCTGGTGGTTTATTGGAGATAGGAGTCTCACGGTCTCTCCTGCCCGGGCTGGCTTTGAACTTCGATCCTCAGATCTCAGCCTCCTGAATAGCTAGGATTACAGGCGTGAGCCACCAGTGCCCGGCTTAGTTCTTTATTTCTTTTTGCCAGTCCTGGGGCTTGAACTCAGAGCCTGGGCACTGTCCCTAGCTATTATTGCTCAAGGGTAGTGCTCTACCACTTGAGCCACAGTGCCACTTCCAGATTTTTCTGTTTATGTGCTACTGAGGGATTGAACCCAGGGCTAATTTATGCATGCTAGGCAAGCACTGTACCACTAAGCCACATTCCTCTGTACAGGTCATGTACAGAGGGGTTATAGTTATGTAAGTCAGGTAATGAGTACATTTCTTTTTGAACAATGTCACCCCTTCCTTCTCCCTCTCTCCCAGTTTTCCTATTAGTCATTCTATCTGCAACAAAAATATGTATATAAATTTTAAAAACATATCCTATGACCACAGCGATATAGAAGTTTTATAAATTTAATTATCTTTGCAACATTATTAGTGCACAGGTTATGAAAATGATATGTACTATTTTATTGGAAAGACAATCTTTAAGTGACAATTAGTAGGGCTGAATTTTTCAAATACTTATTAAAACTGTGGATGAAACTTATGTATTGCTAGAATGAGACTGGGTTCAACATTCTCTTCCTGTTTTACATTTTCCTAGACAAGTAGTGAGAACTTAGTTTGCATAAATTAGATGGAAAGAAGGAAATCTAATTATGGGTATGCCAGCCACTTCTTTGAATACTTCTGAGTTATATGATTCAAACCCCACAATGATCTATCATCAAAAATCATTTTCAACAATCTTTTAGCTGACAGCTTAATTAGATCTCACTTCAATTTTGCTGAAGGCAAAGACTTGGAAACCATCCAGTCTGTAAAGGATTTGTTACCCAGTTAACCAGCATCATTCAGCTTTTCAGTTGCTGGAATTAGGCCAACAATGTTTCATGAAGATTTATCAAATGACTATTAAGTACATCTGCTTCTTTTTCACTTAGATAACTTAAGCTTATATACTTAGGATTGACCCTCAAGAGTAAAAATTTTCAATACATAGTTTTGTGTTATTTTTTGATCAACTGTGTTTACATGATCATATATTTTGTATTTTCACTAACATCTTGGACACATGGACATAATTTATTTCATCTGTGATATTCTTGGCACAGCTATTCCTCATTGTTAAATTAATCTGCCAAATAAAATTCCTATTAGAAATGATTTTTGCCTTTTTCAGTTCCAGTACTCATGTTCATACATGCCTTGGGATAATCATCTTGCTTCTGAAATTAAAGAAATGGATATAGACAAGGCATGAGCCTTCCCTTCCTAGATGAATTATATTACAAAGGTTTTTTCTTTCTTTTTCTTTTTATTCTTTGTTTCTTTCTTTTCTTTTTCTTTTTTGTCAGTTGTGGGGCTTGAATTCTGGGCCTGGGCGCTGTCCCTCAGCTCTTCAGCTCAAGGCTAGCACTCTACCACTTGACCCACAGCGCCACTTCCAACTTTTTTTGTTTATGTGGTGCTGAGGAATCGAACCCAGGGCCTCATGCATGCAAGGCAAGCGCTCTACCACTGAGCTACCTTCCCACCCGCCCCCCCCCTCGCCACCTTTTTTTTTCTGTCAGTCCTGGAGCTTGAACTTTGGGTCGGGGCGCAGTCCCTCAGCTCTTCAGCTCAAGGCTAGTGCTCTACCACTTGAGTCACAGCGCCCTCTTCTGGCTTTTTCCGTTTATGTGGTACTGAGGAATCAAACCCAGGGCCTCACGCATGCAAAGCAAGCACTATAGCACTAAGCCACCTTCCCAGCCCTTACAAAGGTTTTCACTCATTCTTTTTTGCCTTTCTGCCCTAAGACTCTCTTTTACATATAATGAAATTTTAAAGTTATTTTTATTGATACATCAGGTGTACAAGGAGGGTTTTACTATGACATTTTCATATGTACATATAATATATTCCATCAACCTCACCCCCTTTATCACTTTCCCTTAGTCCCCTCAACATTTTCAAAGCCTGGAGCCAGTGGCTCATACCTGTAATCCTAGCTACTCAGGAGGCTGAGATCTGAGGATCATGGTTCATAGCCAGCCCAGGCAGGAAAGTCCATGAGACTCTTATCTCCATTAAACAACCAGGACACCAGAAGTGGCACTGTGGCTCAAGTGGTAGAGCGCTAGCCTTGAGCTGAAGAGCTGAGGGACAGCATCCAGGCCCAGAGTTCAAGCCCCACAACGAACAAAAACAAACCAAAAAAAACTTTGAAAATGAGAAGATTTTATAAAGACAACAAAAGACAGCCTCAGAATGATAACTTTTTGGAATTCAGAATATTATACCTTGTTGCCTGATAATGTCAAGATTTTACTCTCATTTGCCAAAGCTGGTAAGTTAGACCATATGACTGTTTTGCCAAGTTGAGGTGCTGAATCTAAGGGTCAAAAAGAAAACTAAGGAGCTCTGCCACTTCTCCATTTCCTGAGGTCTAAGTGTTCCCTCCATGTAACTGATGTTTCAATCCTAGTGGCTATGGCTACATTTTAATTTTTTGCTTAACTCAGGGCCTAGGCACTGTCCCTGAGCTTCTTTTTGTTCAAGGTTAGCACTCTACCACTTGAGCCACAGCACCACTTCCGGCTTTTTCTGTTTATGTAGTACTGAGTAATCAAACCCATGCTCCACAAGCACTCTTCCACTAAGCCACATTCCCATCCCCTGGCTACATGTTTTTATTCAATCATACTTGACTTATACTCAAACATATCACATGGAAAGGTTAGATATGGAAAGGTCAGGGGTTGTCTTAAAAAAGTTAGAGACTTACAGAACAACATTGAGATATCACCTCACCCCAGTTAGAAGGGCAAAAATCAAGAACTCTAACAACAACAGATGCTGGAGGGGATGTGGACAGAAAGGAACCTTACTTCATTGTTGGTGGGAATGGAAACTTGTTCAACCACTTTGGAAAGCAGTATGGAGGTTCCTCAAAAGACTTCACATAGAACTCCCTTATGACCCAGCAATCCCACTTTTGGGCATTTACCCAAATGTTTACAAACAAGACCACACTAAAGCTACCAGCACAACTATGTTTATTGCAGCATTATTTACCATAGCTAAGATATGGAACCAACCCAGATGCCCCTCAGTAGATGAATGGATCAAGAAAATGTGGTATATATACACAATGGAATTCTATGCCTCCATCAGAAAGAATGACATTGCCCCATTTGTTAGGAAATGGAAAAACTTGGAAAAAATTATATTAAGTGAAGTAAGCCAGGCCCAAAGAAACATAGGTCCCATGGTTTCCCTTATTTGCAATATCTAGTATATGTATGAGTCAAGCAGAAAAGGTCAGATAATGTGATGTCAGGAAAATGAACCCTTAGATATGTATTTTAATGTTTTTTTTCTTTCATGCATGTGTTTCTAACACATTTATAAGATTATCTCTTTGTTGCTTTGTATGTCCCTCCCCCACAGTATAACCCCTGCTTTCACTATATTTGATGTCAGTATAACTTGTGGAGGAGATGGGGAAAACCAGTTGTTTAAGGATACAGGTGGACCTGTTGCAACAATGAGAAGTACAAGTTGTCATGTCCAAAACGAGCTTTACAACGTCGGTGGGGGGGGCGGGGGAAGGAGAAGGAGAAGGATTGGGATTGGGGGGGAGGGGGGGGGCTGGGAAGTGATGTGAAGGGTAAACAAAGGAAGAGGCTGCAATGCTTGGTAAGAAATGTACGCATTATCCTGCCCATGCAATTGTAACCCCTCTGTACAGTATGTTCACAAATAAAATAAAATTAAATTAAAAAAAAAGTTAGAGACTTATCCTGATCTCCTCCATCTCAGAAGACACTCCATCTCTGGCCTTGTAATAAAAAATGGCCTCTTCCTGAAATTAGCTGACACAGGGTCTCTTGGAGCTGGCAGCTGCAACCGATATCGCAGCTTTCCCCTGGAAGCAATGTCTTGAATGGACAGCTACAACCATAAATGGTAACAACAAGCCCCCCTTGAAGTAACTTTCTGCCCCGTTCAGCTGCAACCATAAATTATAGCCCTCACCCACTCCTGGAATCAAGCATTATCTTTAGTTTCTAACTCTGACCGCAGGGTGTGCCCCCCCCACATCCCTAGTTGAATTCCCCATCCCCAGATCCCTAGCTCTATAAAGATACCCCCTTGCACAAAGATAGGTGCTGTCCCTACCTGAGAGGCTCAGCCTGTCAGCTTGCTGACAATAAACTTTGCTGAATGTGACTTGGTGAACGTGTGGTCTTCTGGGGTGGAACTTGCAGAGACATTCTACTTTCCCCCTTGGTCTGTATAAGTACACTGTAGAGGGTCTTGGACAGCAGTGTACTTAACTAATGGTTATCATACTTATAATCCAGGACCATGCAAGTCCAATCTCGCCAAACTAGAATTAAGTTTGAATTTCCTGTTTTCTCTTAGCCAGTGGTCTCAGCCTTTCTCTCCCTAAGAATACCTGAAGGGTATATTAACCCTGGTGGCCTGGGGAAAGAATGTCCAGGAATGGTCAGGGTGAAATCCAAAAATTTCAAAGTAGGTTCTATGATTTCTTTTTTTTTTTTTATTGTTCTGGAAATAACCAAGAAGTGAGCCCTTTCTAGGAAAGATTACGTTTACTGGCCATTATACCTTACTAAGATATGTTGACTCCGATGCTGAAAGGCTTTGATGTTCAACCTTACTAGATGTTTGCATATGGAATGTGAAATTCTTTGACTAGGTGTCCATTATTGGCCCTCGAATGGATTCTTCTTCCTTCCAAGTCCTCTATGAGGGATGTGGAACAGATGGCTGAGGAACATGGAGCTCAGGGACCCTGTTTCCTTCATATAAGCAGTAAGCAAATTTGCTCTTTGTCCTGGAAGGAGACATGCTCTCTTTCTTTTTCTTTCTTTCTCTCTCTCTCTTTCTTTTTCTTCTCTTTTTCTTTTTGTTGGTCATGGGACTTGATCTCAGGGCCTGAGTGCTGTCCTTGAGCTTTTTCGCTCAAGGCTAGTAGTGCTCCACCACTTTGAGCCACAGCTCCACTTCCTATACTTCATTTTTAAAGATTGCTTACTGTAACATGACCTTGAGAAGGAGCCTGGACAGAGCAGTTAGGGCCTGCATTCTTGTCATGTCCGGCAAGATGTGTAGAAGTACAAGAGCCTCATGAGGTGAGGTTTCCAGCAGACATGCATCCAGCAGTCTTACATTCTGTGTCATTGACCAACACTGAACAAGCAAAAATGGTCAGATAATTCTAATTAGAGATAACAGTCTCTTGAAATAAAAACATTACTCCCTTAACTCATCCTTCTTTTTTAATCTCCTGCTTAGTGTTTTTAGCCACAAAATGCTACTTTTTTTTCCCTTTAGGACCTATGCTTTTCTTCTAAAACAATACTGTTGTCTTACATAGTCCTCTGATGATTTAATTTCCTTTTTTTCTTAGATATTCTCCTGAAAGAAAATGCAGCTTAGTTATTAATTAGTAAAATTGAGTACAGTTTAATTTGATCATTCATGTATTCACGTATTATGAATACTTACGAACACAGTGCATCTTGATCAATGTCACCCCTTTCAACATTCTCACTCACCCCTCCCAAATCACCCCTTCCTTCACCTTTCTTAGTTTTGTAGGATGCACATTGAATTCCTGTGTTCTCCCCTTCTCTTCTTCTTTCATCTACCCCTCTCCCCTGACTTACTCCACCCCTTTCAAGTACCTACTTCTTGGTGCTTATTCTGTTGAACTTGGTGCTTATTCTGTTGACTTTGCCTTTCTAAGGAATTACACTATTTGAGTTCTCCTTTGAATCTACAATATTTCAGTTAATACATTGTATACACTTGTGTAACACCCAAAAGATTTGCTTATAAATTTACAAGCTAAATATAGCTTCCATATATGACGGAAAACATGGTGTGTGCTAGGTACTGCAGCTACAAGGATGACTAGATAGAACACAGTTCTTGCCTTCATAGCGTTCATCATCTAGTTGGCAAAATAGATATAGTACTGAAAGGTTAGAGTATTTGAGGCAGTGACCATTTGTTGCTTGTTTTAGAGTAGAGCAACACGTGGTGCTAAACCACCTGGTTGTGTGCCCTTATAAGACCTGCAAATCCTTAGCTCGGGGCTCTCCTCCTGGGCTCCGTCCGCTGTATCGGAGTATGGGACTAGGCCCGAGCTGCAGCCCGTTTAAATAAAACAGCTGTAGAGTCTGACTCTTGGAGGTCTTCTTGGTGGGGGTCCTGCGATCTTGGCATAACAGTACAAACCTCAATTAAATTTATTTCTTAGTGGGAATGAAATGGAAAATCACTAGAGATAGGGGGCTAAACTAAAACAGCACAAACTGGCCCAGCACAGATGACATTCTTCAGCCTTTATAAAGAAGCTGTAAAATCCCTGTGAGCTGCGACTCTGGGCTCAGACTTTGGAGTAGTAACTCTGTAGGGCCCACCTTCATAATGAATTGGAGTTCTACATTTCTGAGTGTCCCTTGGGTTCTTGTCAGTCTATTTTTCTGCACAGTAACTGCCACTGTGCAGGTATTTGAGCTGTTCAGGAGAATGCATTGGTTCTCTATGCACAGAGAATTAAGGATGTGGCTGGTGCAGGAAACAAGGTGGGAGGGGGTTTTGGAAACAATAGAAACATCTTGTCCATGTATATTCCATTATCTAGATATAAAACAGCACTTTTTTTTCTTTTTGACCAGTCAGGGGGCTTGAACTCAGGGCCTAGGCTCTGTACCTGAGCTCTTTCATTCAAGCCTAGCAATCTACCACTTTGAGCCCCAGCGCCACTTCTGGCTTTTTCTGTTTATGTGGTAATGAGGACTTGAACCCAGGGCTTCACGCATGCTAGGTAAGCACTCTATCACTAAGACACAGTCCCAGCTCTCCCTCCCTTTTTTTTCTGATACCACTCCTGCGACTTTAATTCAGGGCCTAGGCACTGTCCTTGAGCTTTTGTGCTCAAGGCTAGTGCTTTACCACTTGAGCCACAGCTCCACTTCTGGCTTTTCTGGTAGATTAAAAAAAAGAAAAGAGAGAGACATTAAACAACCTTACCAGATCTCAGTTTTCTGAGTAGCTAGGGTTATGTGTGTGAGCCTCTGGTATCAAGTCGTACTTCATTAAAAATTTTTTGTTGTTGTTGTTGGTCGTGAGGCTTGAACTCTGAGCCTAGGCAATGTCCTGAGCTCCTTTCGCTCAAGGCCAGCACTCTACCACTTGAGCCACAGTGCTGCTTTCAACCTTTTCTGTGATTTAATTGGAGATAGGAGTCTCATGGACTTTCCTGCCCGGGCTGGCTTTGAACTGTGATCCTCAGATCTCAGACTCCTGATTAGTTAGGATTACAGGCATGAACCACCAGTGCCCTGCAGCACTTCATTTTTTAACATGCTATTAATAAGAAAACTTTGAAGGGTGATACTTCACTTGCCAGCAATTCTCCTTTATTCCTTGCTAGATATTGCTTAATTTGCTTTCTTCTGCTGCAATCATGATAGATGGAAATGATGGGGGAAAACTAGAGATAAATTAAATGTCAAAAGAAGCAGACTCATTGATTTTAAAAGTTAACTGAAAAACAAGATTTGACAAAATGAATCATGTTTTTCCCATTGATCTATGTGATAGTTTTGGCAGTAAGGCCCTAGGAAGAAATTCTCAAGAAAATGAATATCAAACCAATGAAATATCTATCTCAATCCAAAACTGTATCAAGCCAAACACAGAGCCCAGTTGCTAAGCATATGTATTCATATACAGAATGAGGCAACTCCTACATGAAGAAACTAGATCATTCGGTTGAATTTGTGGAGAATTTAGCCTATTGCTCTGCTTGAATTTATAGTAGGTCATAAGAAAATGATCATTGTTTGATAATTCTACAGTTTTTCTAAGAATAGGCCACAAAATGTGCTTAAGTTTCTTCGTTTTAAACTGAGGACTTAGAATTTAAAAGGTTAACATGATTTGTGTTTGAGATGTGACAAAGCATACTTTTCCGATTTACTATTTAAAGGTTTTTTGTTTGCTTGTTTGTTTTTCCATGCCAGTTCTGGGGCTTGAACTCAGAGTCTGGGTGCTGTCCCTAAACTTTGGTGCTCAAGGCTAGAGCTGTCTCACTTGAGCCACAGCTGCACTTCTGTCTTTTTGGTTCTGGTTGTTAATGGGAGATAAGGGTCTTACAGACTTTGATGCCCCGGCTGGCTTCGAACCACACAATCTTCAGATCTCAGCCTCCCGAGTAGCTAAGATTACAGGCATAAGTCACCAAAAAAAGTAAAACACAAAAGCAATTTATCAGTTTTACTGTGCTAGACTTTCATATTAGTTTTTGTTTTTTTTTTGAGAAAGGGTCTTGCTATGCTGGTCTGGCTAGGTCTTCAAACATGTTAATCCTCTTGTCTAAGCCTATCAAGTGCTGGAATTATAGGTGGGTGCACATACCAGACTACTATTAGATCTTTATTCAAAAATGCACAACCATAAAAGTATACAATATATACCAGCTGTCTTACTTTCAGTAGTTTATTTTTACCTAAGACAGGGGTAGGCTCCCAAAAGTCATTTCTTCCTCCTCCCCCTCTTCTTCCCTCCCCCACTTCTCCTTCTTTTTCTTCTTAGGCTTGAACTCAGGGCCTGGGTGCTGTCCCTGAGCTCTTTTGCTCAAAGCTAGAGCTCTACCACTTTGAGCCACAGTGCCACTTCCAGTTTTCTGGGTTAACTGGTGATAAGAGTCTCACAGGGACTTTCCTGCCCAGGCTGACTTTAAACTGCTATCCTTAGATCTCAGCCACTTGAGTAACCAGAATTATAGGCATGAGCAACTAGCACCCACCAACATTTCTGCTTTTTAATTCTCTTACTCTCTACTCTCTACTGCCATTCTCCCCTCAATCACATAGCTAACTGATATAGGGTTAAACCATATGATCCAAAACTTGTCAAGTCAGAGTCCTAAGAGAAATGAAGGGACAAGATAGTAGGCTTAGACAGGCTGCCAGCCAGGAAATGAAGTTGCTTTTTTTTTTTGGTGGGGGGGGGAGGTGGAATAACAGGGTTTTATTCTTATTTAGCCATGTTTTCCATTCTTTGAAATTATCAGAAAATTTCTTGTCAAGAGGGCAACTGGTCAGGAAGCAAATTTATGTTATGTATATACATTTTTTCCCCTAATCCTGGGGCTTGAACTCAGGACTTGAGCCACAATTCAACTTCTGGCTTTTTGATAATTTATGAGACTAGATAAGAGGTTTTTTTGTTTGTTTGCCAGTTCTGGGTCTTAAACTGGGCACTGTCCCTGAATTTCTTTTGCTCAAGGCTAGCACTCTGCAACTTGAGCCATAGTGCCACTTCTGGCTTTTTCTGTTTATGTAGTGGTGTGGAATTGAACCCAGGGCTTCATGCATGTTAGGCAAGCACTCTATTACTAAGTCACATTCTCAGCCCTATACAAGTTTTCTTAAGTTAATTTACTTTATTGTTATTATAAAGGTGATCTAAAGAGGGATGAGTCAAGGTAAGAGTCCTGTCCCTGGCATCTGCTATCATTGTGGCTTAGCTACACCCTGTCCTTCTAGTGTTACGTTAATAATAAATCCCTTTCTCTCCGACCTGGTTAGTTCTCTGTCACCGGAAATGAAAAGACCTAACTAAGGTAGAAATTAGAAAGCCAACTTACCCAGCTTCTCTGTGGCTTCCACACAGACACTGGGATACATGCCTGAAGTATAAGTGGCCACCAGAAGATACAAATGCGTCTTCACAACAATGACACCTTTGTTTTCCTGGAGGAAGAATAAAATAGAAGACCCTGCCTTTGGTTCTCACTGCGTGACCAGTAGTTCCCCTTCCAACCATTTTTTTTTTCCCTTTCCTAACTTCTACATATTTGTTTTTGAACTCTCTACTCCTTCCTCATAATTTAGTGTCTTTTATGAAAAGGTTTCAACTTTTTCTAAAAACAGCATATGTATTTTGAAAAGTTTTCAAATTAACTGCGGTATTTCCCCAGCCTAAAAGATCATAGATCTTGGAATTGGACAGCTCTGGGCCTGAAACTGAGCACCATCATTTTCTGTGGTATGACCGTGAAACAGTTATTTAACCATTTGTCTTACTACCTAACCAAAACTGATCTTGAACTTTCTATGGAGTACAGACTGGCCTCAACATTTTCCTGACTCAGCTTCCCAAGGGCTAGGATTGCAGGTGTGTGCCACTGTGGTTTTATTTAACCTTCTTTTTTTTGGAGTCCGGTTGTGGGGGCCTGAACTCTGGGCCTGGGCGCTGTCCCTCAGCTCTTCAGCTCAAGGCGAGCGCTCTACCACTTGAGCCACAGCGCCACTTCCGGCTTTTTCTGCGAACCCAGGGCCTCATGCATGCAAGGCAAGCGCTCTACCACTGAGCCACCTTCCCAGCCCCATAGTGTAATTAATTCTTTTGTTGTTGTTGTTGTTGGTTGCAGGGCTTGAACTCTGGGCCTGGGTGCTGTCCCTCAGCTCTTCAGCTCAAGGCGAGCGCTCTACCACTTGAGCCACAGCGCCACTTCCGGCTTTTTTCTTTTTGCTTATGTGGTGCTGAGGAGTCGAACCCAGGGCCTCATGCATGCAAGGCAAGCACTCTACCACTGAGCCACCTTCCCAGCCCCTTATTTAACCTTCTTAAGCCTCACTTTCCTCATCTATAAAGTAAGACTAGTTTATAATGTGAAGTGTGTCTAATCCATAGAAAGTGCATCTAATGAATGAATTTTCTCTCCTGCATTCCTTATAGGTGATAGAAAACCACAGCCACTTAAAGTACAGAAATGATGCACCGAGAATTGCTAACCCCATAATTTTAAAAATCTGTAATGATCCAAAATCCAAAAATACTTGAGCATCAATATTCCAAAATTGAAGTTTCTATACCTGATCTCATATGACATGTCACAGTAAAAATGCAATCATGTTAAAAATCATATAAAATCAATTTTAGTCTGTTTATGGGATGTACATAAAACATACATGAATTTTATTAGACTTGGATACCATTCCCAAGATATATCTACGTATTTCTAAACATTAAAAAAATCTAAATTTGAGGGGCTGGGAAGGTGGCTCAGTGGTAGAGTGCTTGCCTTTCATGCATGAGGCCCTGGGTTCGATTCCTCAGCACCACATGAGCAAAAAGAAAAAAAAAGCCATAAGTGGCACTGTGGCTCAAGTGGTAGAGCACTAGCCTTGAGCTGAAGAGCTGAGGGACAGTGCCGAGGCCCAGAGTTCAGCCCCATGACTGGCAAAAAAAAAAAAAATCTAAATTTGAAAAACTTCTGGTGCTAAGCATTTCTGCTAATAGTCAACCTAGATTGCTTTTTTTTTTTTTTTTTTGGAAGGGGGAGTGGAATGACAGGGTTTTATTATTTAGACACATGTTTTCCATCCTTTGAAATTATCAGAAAATTTCTTGTCAAGAGAGCAACTGGTCAGGAAGCTAATTTATGTTACAGTTACAAAATTTTCTTCGGTTAATTTACTTTATTGTTATTATAAAGGTGATATATACAAGGATTATAATTACATGATTCAGGTAATGAGATATTTCCCTTTGTAGAGTGCCTTCTGTTTCCTTTATTTTGCTGTTTGTTTTTTGTTTTGCCAGTCTTGGGGCTTGAACTCAGGGCCTGGCACTGTCCCTGAGCTTCTTTTGCTCAAGGCTAGTGCTCCACCACTAGAGCCACAGCGCCACTTTCAGTTTTTTCTGTTTATATGGTACTGAGGAATTGAACCCAGGGCTTCATGTATGCTAGGGCACTCTACCACTAAGCCACATTCCTATCCCTGTTTCTGTTTTGTTAAGAGGAGGAAATAGAGGAGGAAGAATGGACTAATAAAATTTCTTTCGTTTTTCTTTTTTTCTTGAGCCATAAGTATTGTGATTGAACTCAGGGTCTCATGTTTTCCCCTGGCTTTTTGGCTTTTGCACTCAAGGACGGTGCATGACCACTTGAGTACCAACTCCATTTCTTTTTTTGTTTTTTATTAAGTTTTTTTTTAGTATGAAAATACCATACAGAGGGGTTCCTATTACATGAGCAAGGTAATGAGTACATTTCTTATCAAGAATTGTTGCTTCCGCCTTTGTTTCCCCTTACCATCCCTGCCCTCCCATCTCCCCCACCCCCAGCTCCACTTCTAAGGATGGACTTCTAACAATAAAACAGTTAACAGATTCAAGAATGAATATTTGTCCCACCTAGGCTTTCTGAAAGTACTTTTAGAAACGCCACCAGTTTATTATTGTCTTAAGGTAGTAAGGAGCTTGTTTTGTTTTACAGAGAGGATTAGGAGGGGCAAAGAAAATAAGAAGCTGCCTTCAAATCTTGAACACTCACAGTCTTGGCATAAAGCGAAGTGTCATCTGACCGAACACATTTGTAATCTGTTTCTTTGAAATACAACCCTTCTCTTCTGATTTGCAAAGGGTTTTTGGCGAATCCATTCACAAGTGTTTGGATGTCAGCTGGCATTAGCTATAGAAGAGATTAAATAGACCAGAAGTCAGAAAGCTGTGGTCATTGGCCAGTCAAATTTGGTCAACTGACTGTTCTTAATGGCCTGAAAAGTAGGAATATTTTTCGCATTTATTTTATATTTTGCCATACTGGAGGTTGAACTCAAGACCTTCTGCTTGCTAGGTAGATATTGACACAGGTCTCCAGCTCCCTTAAAAAAATTTTTTTTTTCTGTCAGTCATGGGGTTTGAACTCCAGGCCTGGGTGCTGTCCCTGAGCTCTTCAGCTCAAGGATAGTGCTCTACCACTTTGAGCCACAGTGTCACTTCTGGTTTTCTGGTGATTAACTTGAGATAAGAGCCTCACAGACGTTCCTGCTTGGGCTGGCTTTGAACTGTAATCCTCAGATCCTAGCCTCCTGAGTAGCTAGGATTATAGATATAAGCCACAAGCACTTGGCCCTTTTTTACAATTTTTTGGTGGGGAGGGCTAGTAATGGAGCTTCAACTTAGGGCCTCATACTCTCACTTGGTTTTTTTGCTCAAGGTTGTTGTTCTACCACTTGAGCTCCATCTCCACTTCTGGCTTTTTGCTGGTTTAATTGGAGTTGAGTTTTTTGGATTTGTCTTCCAAGGCTGCCTTTGAACAATGATCCTCAGATCTCAGGCTCCTGAGTAGCCAGCAGCACCCAGCTGCCTTTTATAATTTTCTTGACTTCTTTCACATTTTTAAAAGATTGAGGAAAAAAAATAAAGAGTACTATATTGTGACATGTGACAATTATATGAAATTTAAATTTCAGTATTCATACATAAAATTGTATTTGAACAGTCTGTTGGAGACCACTGATTTTCCTAAGCAAGGCTGAAGGCACACTTGGCTACACACAGAGGCATCATGCTAGGGAATGCTCAAGTGGCAACGGTCACTTAGGCAGAGGCAGAGGCATGCACAGAACAGTGGCCCTGGCCCCCATCCCTGACCCGTTTCCAAGATAAGATAGCTAGTTTACTCAAAAATGTTGGCTTAAGAGTTTATGTCCACCTTGGGGTTACTTTTCTACCAAAATGATAACTACTTTGTGATAGAGAAGAAACTTATTCAACAGGGTGTCAGTGGTTCATGCCTGCAATCCTAGTTACTCAGGAGGTTGAGATCTGAGGATGCAGTTCAAGGCCAGCCCAGGAAGGAAAGTCTGTGAGACCCTTATCTCCAAATAACCACCAGAAAACCAGAAGTGGTTTTGTGATTCAGGGCCAGCACCCAGGAACTGAGTTCAAGCCCCAGGTCTGGCACATAAAAAGTCATAGGTCCCATTGGGAAAGATGAGGGATAAGAATGGAAAATAGGTGACATTGATCAAGCTGCATTGTACTTAAGATGTGTTGAAATGAAACCCCTTGTACAGCTACTTTTTTAAAAAGTCACTTATGACTGGTTGAATTGAAACCCCTTACTACTTAAAAAAAAATCTTAGTAGCCATCTTCATTTTTTTTTCCTTACAGTAAATCCTGGTGATGCAACACATAGGGACCGCTCCTGGAGTTTGACGAGTGCTGCACTGTCCACGTGCTTGGTTCCCAGGAGGGTATCTAACAGTAAATTCTGCAAGTGGCTCATATTCCCTCAGCTCTGAAAACAGGAAATACAGTTGAAGCCATCCACTCTCCGTAGCTTTTTCGTGTGTGTGCTCGCATGTGCGCTAGCCTGACCAGGGCCTAAACACTGTCTCTGAGCTTCTTTTGCTCAAGGCTGACATTCAAACAACTGAGCGACAACTCCATGTCCAGCAGTTCTAGGTAGTTTATTGGAGACAAGAGTCTCACAAACTTTCCTGCCCAAGCTGCGATCGTGAATTACTGGCGCCAGGCCCCGGTTAGCTTTGAAAAGGCATGAGAACACAAACATCCTAAGCCACGTGGGCACCTTAAACATTGGAGTCTGCCAACACAGAGCAGAATCATCGGAAGATGACAGTTCACATGGTGGATTGGGAAGTTGAGTTTGCAACATCAGTTTTCTATCTCTGTAACTGTTCGTATAAGAACGATCTGGGATGTAAACACGGATCAAGCCAGTCACCAGGGGTTCACGGATGTCATCGCGGCTCCTCAGAAGCCAGCGCGGGCAGAGAAGTTCCCAAGACTGCACCTCGAAACCACACCACCACCTCCCCCCAGAAACAAACCCCAGCAACACCCAACCAGCGAGGAAGCGGAACCACCCAGCTAAAAATGTTATAGGGTGCACGGATGGCCGCAGACCAACGCCCAGCAGTTCCAAGCACACTCCCAGGGAACCGAGCCAACGTTTCCTGCACAGGTCCTGCCACGCTGGTTGCTCGTCTTTTTCTAGACACCCTTACGGACGCTCGCCCACCGCAGGGATACAACAGACGCCCCGTCCCTTCCCGCTTCTCGCATTCAGTGTTGGAGCTCACACTTAGGACCCCGCAGCGGAAGCGCGATCCAGTAATGGCGTCACCCTAACGTCCCGGGCGCCAGGGACACGCACCGGAGACCCAACGCGCTCAGGAGTCCAAGGAGCTCCGCGCGCCCGCCCCGCCCCTCACGCACGTGGTGAAGCCACCGGATTGGCTGTGATAGCCGCCGGTCACGAAGATGCAGGGAGCCCCGCGCGCTCACGTCGCCCCGCGCGCTCACGTCGCCTCAGAGCGGAAAAGCGCGCGAGGCCGCGTCCCCGAGACGCTGGGCGGCAGCGTTCGCGTCGGCAGTGACGCGCTCGGGGAGAGGCCTTGGGCTTGCGCGGGCCCCCTCGCCATAGCAGCGGGACAGCTGTGGGCTCAGGCTGCTGACCTCGCGTGGGGGCCGCGGAAGGGACCTCGCGTGACCGGTCGTGGCCGGCGGCCCCCGGGTGGGCTCAGGGCGCACGGGGTTCGCGCCAGAGGCCGGCGCGTGGCGGCCGCGGCCGCACGAGGCCTGGGCGGCCGAGCCGGAACGCCGATCTCGTGGCAGCCTCTCCCTCCCGGGCCCGCTTTGGACCTCTCCCAGCGTGAAGTCTTAGAATTTGTGCCCAAAGCCCATACCCTTCCTTCATTAAGGCTCGGCCTGTGCCTCGGTGGCCCGGAAGTTGCAGCTCCCCCGATCCTTGGCGACTAGTGAGGAATGTGCTGCAAATGGGGAGCCCGGAGGCTGGGCTGGAGCCGCTCTGCCGGGGGGGGGGGGGAAAGAGGGAGGGGTCCTTCAGAGAGGCTCCAGGCCTGCCTGGAGGAGCCGGCTCTGCAGACCACAGGGGTCCTGCGGGGAAACCTTGTGGGGAAATCGTGGTTATCACTAGCGTTCGAAATTCATCCCATGTCCGCATTATTAAGTGGAAGGCAAACTAAGGTGGTCGTCAGATCTCATTACTGAGTAGACTACTACTCTTTAGCTTTTCTAGGGGCTCTGTTGCTCGCGACCACAATGAAAAATGCAGACCGTGATGATCAGGCAAATGGCACTCTTCCCAAGCTCAGGAGCTCAAAAGAATGGTTGGAACCTGAGCCACTTGATTTGGTGAAGGTATAATCGATTAGTTGTCGGGCATTTTGCGTTTCTTGCTTGGCTATTTGCAATGAAAAGTGGCTTGTGATCAGTATGTGTGTGTGTGTGTGTATATATACATATATATATACACATATATATATTTCATTCTCCGATATCCTTTTGCTTTACTATTTGCTGTTTACATTTTTCTGGCTTCTTAAGATGGAATCATAAATCATTAATTATGTGGATCTGTTCAGAAGTAACAAAACTAAGGTTCCCTTGAAGCTCTTACTACTCAAATTTTGATAAGCTGTAATTTCTTTTTTCTTTTTTTTGTCAGTCGTAGGGCTTGATCTTTTGGGCGCTGGCCCTCAGCTCTTCAGTTCAGGGCGAAAGCTCTACCACTTGAGCCACAGCGCCACTTTGGATTTTCTGGTGGTTAATTGGAGATAAGCGTCCCACGGGACTTTCCTGCCCTGGCTGGCTTTGAACTGCGATCCTCAGATCTCAGCCTCCTGAGTAGCTAGAATTACAGGCATGAGCCACGGTGCCCGGCTTAAAAACACTTTTAAGAGCAAGTTTCTTTTTATTTTAGTGAGACAGTTCTTTCATTTTGATTATGATTTTCCATTTCATGTATACCTGTAAGTTTATGCCTAAAATATTAATTTCTTGGGTTTATTTTATCTAGTCTTTATATTTAAACCTTTGTTTAAGCAGTTTCAAAAACAAAACAGATGGGTAAATTCATTAAGAAAGAATAAGAACAGTGCAACTGCAGCAACTTCTTTTAAAAACCTGTTATTATTTTACACTAGTGACATTTTTTTCTAGGTGTAATGTTTATCTTATGTGGCACTAAGCTTTTAGTGAGACTATTGTCCTGTTAACAGATAACCCATAACTGGGCTGGTGCCTTTAATCCTAGATACTCAGGAGCTGAGATTTGAGTATTGTGACTGGAGGCCAGTCCAGGTGAAAAAAGTCTGTGAGCCTTTTTTTTGTGATTGTCTTAGGGCTTGAACTCAGGGCCTAGGCTGTCCCTTAGCTTTTTTTGCTGGAATGGAGCAAAGCTGGTGATGGCTTTGAAGCCAGAGCTTCAGGTCTCAGCCTTCTTAGTAAGTGGGGTTACAGGTGTGAGCCATTGGCCTCTGGTTAGCCTCATTTTCAATTAACCAGCAAAAAGCTGGAAATAGAGCTTTGAGCAAAAAACCTAAGGGACAACACCAAGTTCAAGCCCTAGTACTGGCAAAATAATAATAATAATATTGGAAGATCAGTTTGATCTACCTAGTTAAAAAACTGCAGATAGGGACCTGCTTTTGTCTGTTTTAACTAATAAAAGCAAAATGTTTATCAGATATGAAAAATGGATTTTTACAATGATTTGTATGACCACAAACTCTAGGTAAGCTTGTTCTGGGACTCAAACTGGTGGTGAACTGAGTAATATTTGCCTTAGAATGAGCTTAACCAAAAGCAAGAAGATGAGAGAGAGAGAGAGAGAGTGTGTGTGTGTGTGTTTTGCCAGTCCTGGGGCTTGAACTCAGGGCCTGGGCACTGTCCCTGAGCTTTCTTTGCTAGCACACTATCTCATGAGCCACAGTGCCACTTCTGGCCTTTTCTGTTTCTGTGATACTCAAGAGAATCAAACCCGGGGTTTCATGCATGGAAGCACTCTACCAGTAAGCCACATTCCCACCTTGAAAATATTCTTTAAAAAAGTACTTGGTGGTATATTTTTAAGTAGAACAATTGAATGTGTAGAGAACTTTACAGGGTTATGTCTGTCACATAAAATATAATAAGTCCAGGTAGTACTAATAATTGGATGCTTTCAGGATTTTTGTTTTCAAAGTTTAATTATGTTCTTTTAGATCTTAGCTAAAGAAGATACTAATTAGCTATTCAATCTATTATATAGAGAACATTATATAATTAAACAACTGGCTACAGAGTGCATCTCCATTAATTTTTTTTATTTTGAGTGTAGTACCCCCTATAAAAATTGTAGAAACTAATAAAAAAAGTTCGCTAGCACGTTATTTTCTGTTGTCCTTTTTCTTCCCTAAAAACTAGTTATTTTTTAAGAATCAGCCCAAATGTCTCCCACTTTATAGATGAATTTTTAATTATTTAAGCATCATTTTTTCCATTATGGGAAAAAGCTGTACAATATGAAATTAGCCATTTTAAGAGTAATATTCAGTGTTACTAATTACATTTTCAATATTGTGCAGCCAGCCCCACTATTTCCAAAATGTGTCACTCCAAACTGAAACTTTGGATTCATTAAGCAATAATTCCTTTTCTCTCTCTACTGGAACCCCCTAGTAACTTGTGATGTATTTTCTATGAATTTTGATTGTTTTAGATAGTTCATATTCTGTATACGCAGAACCTTACACTATTTATCCTTTTGCTTGGCTTATTTCATTTTGTCATAGTATTTTCAAAATTTGTCCATGTTCCAGCATATGTAAGAACTAACTTCCTTCCTTCCTTCCTTCCTTCCTTCCTTCCTTCCTCCCTCCCTCCCTCCCTCCCTCCCTTCCTCCTACCCCTTCCTCCCCTCCCTCTCTTCCCTCCTGCCTCCTCCCTCCTTCCTTTCCTTCCTTTTCTTCCTTCTCTCCCTCTTCTCCCTCTCATCCCTCTCGTTCTCCTCTCTTCTCTTTCTATGCTGGTATGAGGCTTGAACTCAGGACCAAGTTGCTGTCCTTTAGGTTTTATTACTCAAAGCTGGTGCTCTATCACTAAGCCACAGATCCACTTTTGACATTTTGCTGGTTTATTGGCGATAAGAGCCTCCTGGACTATTCTTCCCAGTCTGCCTTTGCACTTTGGTCTTCAGATCTCAGCCTTGTGAGTAACTAAGATTACAAGTGTGAGCCAGTGTTGCCCAGCTACTTTATTCTTTTATTATGACTGAATAACATTGCATTGTATATATATATATATAAATATGTATATATATATATATACTGTATTTTGTTCCTTTGTTTATGGACACTTATGGGTTGTTACTATCTTGTGGCTGTTGTAAATGTGCCAATAAACACACGTGTGTACAAATAGCAATTTCAGTCCCTATTTTTAATTCTTTTAGGTATATATCTAAAATTTTTAATTTAAATTACATAGTAATTCCCTTTAACTTTTTGAGAACTACCCATCTCAGAATTTCTTAACTAGAAAATGGCTTTTTCTCTCCTATGTCTTAAGTTAAAATATATACAATATTGCTATATTGTCCCTCTGCCCATTATATTGCAAATTTATTTTTAAGCCTGGCTCCCCAGGAAGAGTAGTCATGTTACCCATAAACTACTTGTTTCTAATATATTCTATGTCAAATAGTGGAAGCTAAGTAAATGATCTAGTTAATGAATTGTTTTGTGGGTTTTTTTATGAGTTATAATGTAAACTTATGAAGTTTAAGAAAATTTTTAGAACAATATATTTTATTTGTCTTTTTCAACCACTGTTTTCTAGGACTTAGACCAGTGTTTACATCTTCATGACTTCTTAAATAAGAGAAAAAAAGAGATGTTATATAAAAAATGGGTTGAGCAAGTGGCAGATCCTCTACAGAAGAAAATTATAGAAAAAGTTTGTTCACATAAGAATATTGAAAAAAGAAGACAACAGGAAATAGGTAGTTTTTTAAAACACGTAAATAAAAAGGTAGGAAAAGATCTTTGATACTTTTACCAGTTGGTTTAAAAATTATAGGTGTTTTCTCCATGCTGTTTAATTATACACACCACCTCCCCTTTCCTCCTTCATATATGTACAATTTATACTCTTTAGAAACAAGATATTCTCTCTCTCCCTCTGTCTCTCTCTTTCTGTCTCTCTCTCTCTAGGCAATACTGGTGTTTGAACTTAGGGCTTCATGTTTGTTATGCAGCTGTTCTACGTCAGTGGAATTGTGTGATTTTTGAATCATAATAATGCCCAGAATTAATTGTACATTTCTTTCTTACATGTGACCTTATTTCTTTCTTATAGGGATGTCCATTTATAGAACATTATGATCCAAAAGAGTATGATCCTTTTTATATGAATAAAGAGGATCCGGATTATTTTAAGGTAGGGTAGATTTCATATTTTAGCTTTGATAGTATATGTCTTCTTGTTTTGAACATCCTTAGTATATGAATTACCCCTTAATGGTTAGTATAAATGCAATAATGTTTTAAGACTACTTCCCAGTAGTTATATCTTAGGAAGGAGCAAAACTCCCAAAGTAAATTAAATCTTTGTAAAATTTGAAAATATTGTTCAATGATTGAGTAATAGGAAATGTTAAAATTTTCATAGACTTTTAAATTTGTTACAAAATTAATATATTTTATTATACATAAATGATCAAAAATTGATTTTCAAATACAGAAAATTAAAAAGCCACATATAATCCTGTATCCCAGAACTAACTCAGAAACATTTTCTATATTCTATATATTGTATATCCTCCTAGGCACACACACACACACACGTATATACATATATATATATACACACATATATACGTATATATGTGTGCATGTGTATGTTTACACACATTTTTATTTTACAAAGATGAGATTATATCATTAATTTTATAATGTGCTTCCCCTATATTTTAACAGGTTACTTCTCTATTAATAAATGTAAATATTAAATTTAAAACTTTACATGATTTTCTATTACTGATAGCAAAGTGCTTACGCAAATATTAGGACTTTTCTTTGCACATGATAAGATAAGCATATTTTGTTTTGTTTTTCATTTATTTCATCTCCATTTTAGCTGTATAAGGTAACAAGGTGAGGCAAGAGAAGCCTGGTTGTTAGTCACCAGCTCTAACTAGCACATAAAACATTGATGGCTCTCTAATCATATACTATACCTTACCATTTCATCATTTTTCAACACATTCTTTTTTTTTTTTTTGGTTCCAGTCGTGGGGCCTGAACTCTGGGCCTGGGTGCTGTCCCTCAGCTCTTCAGCTCAAGGCTAGTGCTCTACCACTTGACCCACAGCACCACTTCTGGCTTTTTTCTTTTTGCTTATGCGGTGCTGAGGAATCGAACCCAGGGCCTCATGCATGCAAGGCAAACACTCTACCACTGAGCCACCTTCCCAGCCCACATTCTTTAGTTTGAATACCAAGGTTTTTGAATAGCAAAATCAAATGGTGTCAGGGAGGGGATGACATTGGAGTTTGAACTCAGGGCCTTGTGCTTGCTGGACAAGTGTTTGAGCCACATACACAGCACCAAGACTATTTTTGAGTATTACTCTTACAAGTGACTACGATGAACATCTGTGTAGCTAGATACTTAATTTTTTCCCCTTGAGATTGCTAGAAATAGAGTTGCTGAATTAGAGGTTATTCATTATTTTGATTCATATTGTCAAATTGTCCTCCAGATAGGTTTCATAAACTCCCATTCACACCAGAGTACATTTTCTATACTTTTGCAACTAGTGGATAATATTAAACAAAATAAAACTCCTCATCAAACTACCTTGAGTCATAGACATTTTTTGTTGTTGTTGGTCATGGGGCTTGAACTCAGGGCCTGGGCGCTGTCCCTAAACTCTTTTGGTCAAGGCTAGTGCTCTACCACTTTGAGCTACAACTCCACTCCCTGTTGTATAGTGTTTAATTGGAGATAATCTCACAGACTTTCTTGTCCTAGCTGGCTTTGAACTGCAATCCTCAGCTCTCAGCCTCCTCAGTAGCCTGGATTACAGGTGTGAGCCACCATAGACATTTTAAGATCCCTGCATTTGCACAAAAGTTAGGGGTCCTATGCAGATTTTTTTCAAATTGAGTTATGTTGAGGTGTGTGTGTGTTTAGTTTTTATAAGTGAGAATTAAAATGAGAATTTAGAGTCTTAAGCACACTGAGTAGTAACATAACTAGTAAGAGGTGAAATTGAGATACGAAACCAGATCTTTTTGATAATATCTTAGTCCATTCCTGCTGCTTTAACAAAATGCCTTAGACTGGGAAACTTATAAGAAACATAAAAATGTATTGGTACCAGGCACTGATGGCTCATGCCTATAGTTTCCTCTTTTTTTTTTTCCTAGCACTGTACCACTTGAGCCACAGCGCCACTTCCGGCTTTTTTCTTTTTGGTGCTGAGGAATCGAACCCAGGGCCTCAGGCATGCAAGGAAAGTGCTCTACCACTGAGCCACCTTCCCAGCAGGCTCATGCCTATAATCCTAGCTATTCAGGAAGCTATTCAGGATTCAGTTCAAAGCCAGCCTAGGCAGCAAAGTCTGTGAGAATTTTCTCACTCATTAAACACACACACACACACACAGAAGTGGAGCTGTGGCTCAAGTGGTAGAGCAAAGTCTGTGAGAATTTTCTCACTCACTAACACACACACACACACACACACACACACACATACACACACCCAGAAGTGGAGCTGTGGCTCAAGTGGTAGAGTGCTAGCCTGAGCCCAAAAGCTCAGGGAGAGCACTTAGGCCCTGAGTTCAAGCTCTGGGACTGGCACACACACACACACACACTCACACAAACACAATTTTGCTTGCTGCTCTGGAGACTGGGAAGTATAAGATCAAGATGTCAGTAGATTTGCTGTCTGAGGAGGCTCCATTCAAGTACATAGTACCTCTTGTATATCCTTACATGATAGAAAGGATGAGTAAGAGAAATTTTGAAGAATGATCCCACACTGAAACAAGAGCTAACTTTTTTGGTTAGAGGGCTTTGTTAAGAGGACTATTAGAGTACCCTCATCTCTCTCTTTTTTTTTTTTTTTTTGGGTCCGGTTGTGGGGCCTGAACTCTGTCCTTCAGCTTTTCAGCTCAAGGCTAGCGCTCTACCACTTGAGCCACAGCGCCACTTCCGGCTTTTTTCTTTTTGCTTATGTGGTGCTGAGGACTCGAACCCAGGGCCTCTTGCATGCAAGGCAAGCACTCTACCGCTGAGCCACCTTCCCAGCCCCCTCATCTCTTTTTAATGTGTTAAATATATATATAAAATATATAAAATTTATAAAATAGGTACATGGTTTGTAGGATAATTCATTCTTAGTTCTTCAAGAGCACATTAGGGCTGCTTAGGATAAATTCAACATGTTTAATTCTCAAATCTGCAACCCAGTCCTGATGTAAGTACTTCTCTTACAGGTTATCATGCAACCATTCAATGACCCTTTGAAAAAAATACAACATAATAAGGATAATGAAAAAAGGATTCTTTTTCAGTGTGAAACTGGTATTTAGTTCCTAATTATTATATAATTTCATAGCCCAAGAGGAATGGCAGTTTCATTTTAGTGTGCTAATTTAGAGTACTAATTTTCCTACAGGCAAAATATATACAGTGAACGAATTTAAAGAGTTTCAGAAGACTCAACTGTTTTCCAGATTCCCAAGTATTTTAAATTCAAGGCAGTTTATGACTCCAAATAAATGGATTAAAGTGCCTACCACGTACATAGAAAGTGAATTTTGTAAAAGGAGCAGGTAATGATTAACAAAATTGAAATTATAAACCTTTTGGACTTTGAATACTTTGAAAATTATTTCTTGAGGCAGTAATACAAAGTTTTTTGCAGTTGTGGTTTTTAAAAGAATTTCTCAATGAGAATTCTAGTATAACTGTTACCTTTGGTTCTGATTCTGTGAATTTTCTTTTTTCTTAGCTACTGTTAATATGTTTTTCTTTATCTTTTCAATAGCTAGAGTCTGGTGTGCCTATATTCATTTTCTTTCTATCAGGGTTCCTTGAGAGATTGTGTGTGTGTGTGTGTGTGTGTGTGTGCTTGAACTAAGGACTTTGTTTAGTCTTGTTCAGCTTTCTTGCTCCTGATGATGTTCTATCACTTAAGTCACACCTTCAGCATAGTGTTTTGCTGGTTAAGTTGAGTCTTTCAGGCTTTGTTGCCCTGGCTGGCTTTGAGCCATGATCTTCCAGGTTTCAGCTTCCTGAGTAGCTAGGATTACAGGCATAAGCCCTGTAATCCTGGCATCCCTGAGATTTTCTTTTTGTCAGTCATGGGGCTTGAACTCTGGGTCTGGACACTATCCCTCAGCTCTTCAGTTCAAGGCTAGCACTCTACCACTTGAGCCACAGTGCCACTTTTGGTTTTCTGATGGTTTATTGGAGATAAGAGTCTCATGGACTTTTCTGCCAAGGCTGGCTTTGAACCATGATCCTCAGATCTAGCCTCCTGAGTAGCTAGTATTACAGTTGTGAGCCACAGATGCCTGGCTTCCCTGAGACTTTTGTATCTGTGGTTTTATGTCTTTTCTTGTTTTGAAAATATTTTCTAAAATTTATAGTATAAATAATTTTCATTACTTTGGGAAATTCTATAACATTTCCACTTCAAATATTTTTTATGTTCTTTCTGGAGAAAAAGAATTATTTCCTTTTGTGCTACCAACTTATATGTATGACCACTAATTATGTCCATAGTGCTATGGCTCTTCGTTATTGAATTCTGTTTTTTTAATTTTTAAAATTGTTATTATAAAGGTGATGTACAGAGGGGTTACAGTTACAGTAAGTCAGGTAAAGAATACATTTCTTGTAGCCAGGCGTAGGTGGCTGATGCCTGTAATCCTAGCTACTCAGGAGGCTGATATCTGAGGATTGCGGTTCAAAGCCAGCCCGGGCAAAAAAGTCTGTGAGACTCCTGTCTCCAATTAACCACCAGAAAACCAGAAGTGGCTCAAGTGGTAGAGAGCTAGCCTTGAGCTGAAGAGCTGAAGGACAGTGCCCAAGCCCAGAGTTCAAGCCCCATGTTCAACAACAACAACAACAATAAAATATATATACATATGTATGTGTGTGTGTATATATATAAGTTTCTGCTAGGTGCTGGTGGCTCACCCCTGATCCTAGCTACTCACTCAGGAGGCTGAGATCTGAGGATTGCAGTTCAAAGCCAGACCCTTTAGGAAAGTCTATGAGACTAATTTCCAATTAACCATCAAAAAACTGGAAGTGGCGCTGGGGCTTAAAGTAGTAGAGCAGTAGCCTTGCCCATGACTGACCCCCAAAAAAGGTACATTTCTTTATTCTCTTGCACTCTCCCAGTGTTTCCCCCCCCCACTCCACTCTTGTTTTTCTACTTGCATTTCAATTACCTTGAAGTTAACTAGATTTTTCCTCAACTATGTTCTGTTTATCCAAGAACCCACTAAAGGAGTTAACTGATATGAATTCTCTTTTTAGCATTTCCGTTTTCTTTTTTTCATGAAGTTTTTGCTTTTTCTAAAATCCTTTCTGAAAATTCCTGTTACCCACTTTTCCACTAGATGTTTTTAACCACATGTACCATAGTAATTTGAAGTTTCTCATTTGATAGTTACAGTGTTTGGATCATTTCTTTCTTTTTTTTTTGGTTGGTCATAGGGCTTGAACTCTGGGCTTGGGCGCTGTCCCTCAGCTCTTCAGCTCAAGACGAGTGCTCTACTGCTTGAGCCACAGCGCCACTTCCAGTTTTCTAGTGGTTTATTGGAGATAAGAGTCTCATGGACTTTCCTGCCCTGGCTGGCTTTGAACATGATCCTCAGATCTCAGCCTCCTGAGTAGCTAGGATTACAGGCGTGAGCCACCAGTGCCCCACTGTTTGGATCATTTCTGAATCTGGTTCCATTGATTGTTTTATCTTTTGACCATGGGTCATTTTAAGTGGGGTGTTTTTTGGTTTTAGTTTTTGCATGTCCTATACGTTTTGATTGAATGCTGGACATTTGAGGTAGAAGATTTGTGTAGACTATTTTTTCTCTAGAAATGGACATGCCTTTTCTTTTTTTGTTTTTTTTTGGTCGGTCATGGGGCTTGAACTCTGGGCCTGGGCACTGTCCCTCAGCTCTTCAGCTCAAGGAGAGTGATGCCTTTTTTTTGTTATGTATTTTTAGTGTGGACTTATCTATCAGAAGTTGATCTGAGTTTGTGTGTTTTTATTACTGTTGTTACCTTTGGTATACTACAGACCTTAAATACCTTCACTGTTGCCTTGTGATTGAGGGGGTTGTGTTGGTCATCTTATGCAGCTAAATCTTCTTTTTTTATGTTCCTAACTATAGAAAACATCATCATCTTTTTTTTTTTT